TATATAGCTTTGAAACTTGCCCAAGCTCATTAGTAGAAAGTTGGACCCAGAGAGTCTTAACTCCAGGACTCATGCTTTTCTACCTGTGTTCCTGACTTAAGAGTAGTTCAGCAGGCTTCAGAAGGACAGTCTAGGAAGTACGGGCTATAGAACTTTGAAGATTGTATTGAATTTATAAGCAGGAAAGATGGTAGATTTGAAAAAATGATTTTAAGAGATAGTTTGGTGATTTCTCTTTAAAATTAACAAACTATGTTATGATACACAAAAATTAACACAGAAAAAGTATAATCTTTTAGGCATCACTGAAATGAGATTCTTACTGAGACTCAACAAGACATATATCCATTGCTCAAAAGAAACTGTTCTACTTGGAGAGCATAGGAATGAATTTTGTCTATGAAGCCTGCTCACCTGGATAGAATTCTGCTAACTTGAAAAGTAAAGCAAAGTAGAAAGGCTAAGCAAAATTTGGATGAGGGCAAAAGAAAAGACAAATAGCAACAGTTTATTTTTGCAGAATGTAGATGGTACTATTTCATTCAAATTTTGGAGATGATTTAGAAGGAAGTATGTTAAAAAGTTGGAATGTTTAAATATCTGATCCAAGATATACAAAATATGGTAATCAAGATAGGCAGTTAGCAAAAAGATAGCACATATAGATAAAAAAAATGGATTGGAGAGTTCCAGAAATTGACCCAAACATATGTTGCCAATTGATTACTGGCAAAAGTGCAGAGGCGGTTTAGAGAAGAAAGAAGTCAGTAAATGGTGCTGAATCATTTGCCAAAAAAAGAAATTCATATCTCACATGTTAGAAAAAATTTACTCATAGGCCTAACAAAAGGTAAAATTATAAAACTTTTGGAAAAAAATACAGGAGAAAATCTTTGAGATTAGACAAAGAGTTCTTAAATATGACAGTAAAAACACCATCCCGAAGAGGTAAATTGTTCTTCATTAAAATATAAAAGCTATACTGTGTGGAATGTAAATGAAACAAAAAGTCACCCACTTAAAGGAAATATTTGTGAATCATACATCCTGTGGACTTAGTGGACACTGTGTCCACAATATATAGAAGACTCTCAAAACAAGAAGAAAACAAACAACAAGGTAAAAAACTGAGCAAATTTTCGAACAAATAATAAAATGTCACTATACATCTTTTACAATGAAAACTAAAAGCATACCAAATGAATAAACTATAGAATACCAGTCAGTAATGTAAAGGGACAAGCTATTAATAGATTCAACAACATGGATGACTCTTAAATGACTTATATTGCATGAAAGAAGCCAGATCAAAAAAGCAGTGTGCTGTATAATTGCATTTATAAGGCAGTCCACAAAAGACAGAATCATAGAAACAGAAAACAAATCACAGGTATTAAAGGATAAAAGGAGTGGGAAGGGTTTGAACTACAATGGGATAGCACAGGAAAACTGGGGAAAGAGGATGTAGTAGAACTGCTTTGTATGCTGAATGCTGATTGTGGTTGTTGTGTTTCTATACTTTGCAAAATAGAAGTCACACCAAACAAGTGAATTTTTATTTAATAATTGTGTAATCACTTTCTGCCAAATTTCTTCCCAAAAAGCCAACTGGAATTTTGATTGGGATGGCATCAAATAGATCGGTGGATGCAACTTGAGAATGTACTGTTATAAGTCAGGCACACAAGCTCAGATATCACATGCTTTCTCTTATTTGAGAAACACAAAATTTATATAAATATAAAAAAGAGCAGAATAGAAGAGATAAATAGGTAGTAGGGAAAAGTTCAAATACTTCCTCAAGTTACGTATTTCAATTTTTTCAAAAATATTTTAACATATATACTAATTTGTTTCATTTATATTACTAGTTTATCTTATATCATTGAAAAGAAAGTTTTATGTTATCTGGGTTTATTTGTAAGAATTGCTTGATTTATATCTTGTATGCTGAGTAGCTACGTTGAATGTAATGATGCACAGTATATCTATTGTTAGTCTCATAATTTCGTTAAGAAATTTTGTTTTTTCATTAAACAAAAACTAGATCAATTTGGGAAGAAGTGCTATCTTAACAATATTAAGTCTTCCAATCCATGAATACTCTATACATCTTCCCAGGTATTTAGGTCATCTTTAATTCCAGGGAGCACTATTTTGTAGGTTTGGGTATATAGGTCTTGCATTTCTTTTGTCCAAATTTACCCTCCTAGTGTATGCCATATGTTTGATACTATTATAAACAGTATTTTGACAATTTTCATTTTCAATAAAATGTTCCCCTTGCTTAGTATACAGATAATTTTTGAATACTGATTTGTATCCGCCTATCTTGCCAAATTCACTTTTAAGTAATCTAGGAGAAATAAAACTACATACCATCTAGGATATTTGAGGATTTGGACCATACTAAGAGAAAAAGTTGCAGAAGAATTTGAGTCTCTACCTTATCCCCACCCCTCATTCCTGTCTTTGAGTGTTTGGGTTTGCTTTGGTCTAAGGTAGACTTTGATTGGGTGTGGTTACTGTTGGCAGTGTCAGGAGGTGAGAAATAGGGCATCAGTGGAACCTGTGAGAATCCATGCACCTTCAGGTGAGAAGTTGTCCAGGCTCTGGGGACTTCAGAGCTTTCTTTATCGCTGTCTCTTTGTTCTTTTCCAGACACTGTGTATCCTAGCTAACATAGCAGATGGAACAACAGCAAAAGAACTTATTATGACTAATGATGACATTCTGCAGAAAATCAAGTATTACATGGTGAGCCTTTGTCCTCTTTCACTGCATTAGAAGGCTGGGACTATATATGCTGTTGGCTTAAAACAGATTGAGCAGATATTTTAAAAAGAAGAATAAACTACTCCATAATAGATTTAAGGAACTCTTTTCCGTCTTGAAGAAACTGGAAAAAACAAACACATAATGCTTAGGCCACTGGTAATATTTCCACCTACCACCCCGCTCCCCACCCTACTCTTCTGCTGACTGCCTCCCTCTTTATTCAGGCATCTTAGTTTCTTAACTATTTGCTTCCAATCACAACCTGCCACCTAACTATAATGGCTGTGCTCTGCATCATGTCATTGCCAAAAACTGCCTATTGCCAATATCAGATACTGCTCCTTTTATTTTGTCATAATCTCTATAGTTTCTTATATTTGCTTCCAATCACAACCTGCCACCTAACTATAATGGCTGTGCTCTGCATCATGTCATTGCCAAAAACTGCCTATTGCCAATATCAGATACTGCTCCTTTTATTTTGTCATAATCTCTGAGCAGAATTCTCACTATGCAATAACCCTTCCTCCTCCCTTTCACCATCAACCTACCTTCTCTACGTGCCCCCTCAAAGTCAGCAATCATGGAGAAAAGGTATAGAAGCAAGGTGAATGGTTCACTTTACAAAACCCAGATGGGGACTCAGCCTGCATGATGTCCTTCAGTGATTCTCTAGTAAGTTGCAGCCCTCATTCTCGACAAAAATAGGTTTTTATCCTCTCTTCATTCTTTAAACTTTATCTCTTCACTCCTTTATCGCTTTTAGTGATGACTTTTTTGTTTTATTAAGAATAGAAGGTAAAATCCTTCATGACTCTCTCTTGAATCAAATCTATATCTTTATGATGTCTGTCAAATACTGTATGACATAAGCCACTGATATCCCCAACTTATGTTGTTCCTCTCTTCTATTTTGTTCACTACACTAGCCTCTTTCATTTCTTCAATGAGACCATGCTCTTTACTACCTCAGGACCTTCACACTTGCCAGAACCTCTGGCTCGAACACTTCTTTCACCTCTCCTCACCCTTCGGATCTCAGCTGAACTGATACTTCCTCTCTGGACTCTTACCTGTTTAGGTTAATCTTTATTATTATTATGTAGATTGTTTCCTTCTTTCAGAGCACTGAGCTCAATTATTAGTGACATATCTTTATGGGCCTACAGATTGTCTCTACCAAAGTGCAAGCTCTGTGAGAAAGGGACTATGACAGCTTATGCAGTTTTTTATTCACACCTTGTATAGTGCCTGGCCCTTAGTGTATGCTTAAAAAGTATTTGTTCAGTGAAGTCCTGTTTCAACGAGGAATTCCCTTTTTCCACTTCCAGATCCACACAGTGTCTTTTAGCTTTTAAAAGTTTCCCTCCAAGTGGTAAAGCAGTTGCCTAATATACAAGAGACCATTGTTTTGAACCTCCCAGTACCACCAAAAATAAAACAAAAGTTCTCATTAACCTCCCATTCCCATTGAGGTACACGTAGTTCTCTGCTGGTGTTCAAAGTCAGATTTCTTAAAAGCATCTTCTGCACATGCTGTCTCCTTCTTACCTCTAAGATCACTGTAATCTACTTCATCTGGCCTTCAACCCTGTTTCTCAGTTGAAACTGTTCTACTTAGGATCACCAGTGATGTCCATGATGCCAAATCCAAGGGACACATTGTCTTCTCGTGTCTCCCACTTACAGCTGACTTAAATACAATTGACCATTTCTTCCTGGAAACAGCCCTTTCTCTTGGCTTCCATGGCATCATATCTCCTTAATTACCCCTGGACCCTCTTATTTCATACATGTGTTCCTGAGATCCTGGTTCACAACCTTGCATTCATAGTAGAACCTGTTAGAGAACTTTCAAACACTATAGCTTTGTCCTCTCCCTCCCAAGACTCTAGTATAATAGGTCTGGGTTGTACCCTGGCCGTCAGGATTTTCTTTTTTAATTTCCTTTTAAAAGGGTTCTTGTCGCCGGGTGTGGTGGCTCATGCCTGTAACCCCAGCACTCGGGAGGCTGAGGCAGGAGGATCGCTATGAGTTCGAGACCAGCCTGGACTACATAGTGAGTTCCAGGTCAGTCTGAACTATATAGTGAGACCCTATCTCAAAAAACAAACAAACAAACAAATAAATAAATAAATAAATAAATAAAAATAAAAGGGTTCTTAAAAGGTGTATACTTATGTACAGAGTGATAACCACTTCCTTAGGGGAATCTTATCTACCCCATGGTTTGTACTTTTATATCTATGTTGATGATTTCCGGGTGTTTGCCCCAGCCCATATCTTTCTTTAGACACCTATTCAGCATCTTTATGTGGCTGTGTGATAGCCTCTTGAGTTAGAGGTTCTAAAGTGAATTCTTAAATAATCCCCTAAATTTAAATGTCTTATTCCCTGGCCTTTCCTATTCAGTATAGTTCCATCTACCCCATGCTGAAACTTGATTGAGTCTCTCTTGATTTTCCTGCCTCTCTCCCTTTATTCATCAATTTATCAGCAAGTCCTTGAGCCCTTCATCCAAAACTGCTCTTGAATATGTTCTCTTCTTTCCATTACCACTGTTCCCCTCCTTGGTCCAAGCCATAATATTTTATACCTCACTGACTAGATAGTAATACTTCTGCATTGTTACTCCGCTCTCTTCAGCCAAAATGATCTTCTAAAAATGTAAATCAGATCTTGTACCTCCACTGTATAAATTCTTCAGAGGCTTCCTTTGAACTCAGAATGAAATCCAGAGTCCCTACTCTGGCCTACAAGGATGCACACTTTGGTCATACACCTTCTCTGAATATATAGTTCCTTCTTACAACAGATTTTTCCTTCTTGGAGCCCCTAACCCCTTGATTTTCGTGTATCTGACAACTTTCTGTTCTTTAAGTCTCTGTTTAAATAATGCCTTTTCAAACAGGTAATTATCTCTGTGCATTCCACCTAAATTAAGTTCCCTCTCTTTCACCATCCAGGTGAAATGAATGAATAATAAATACACTTCTAACTACTTCCTACAGTATATACAAGTTCATGTATTCACATTTACCCATTTTATTCACTGATGAACTGAGGCTGAGAGCACATGATAAGTTTTATTCTATTTTATCTAAACTTTGCATCTCTTTAAAATGTTGGCAGGTAAAAGAATCACTAACTATAGATTTTAGTGGAGGAAGCCATATCCATTCCTTTGTTTTCTTGCGGGAGATGTATAGTCCATTACAAGAAGATAAGTCTCTTTTAGCCTTCAAGAAACTATTGAAATTAGGCATCATGCCACTTTCCTATAATCCTAGCCCTCAGGAACCTGAGGCAGGAGGATCACAAATTGAGGCCAGCCTGAACTATAGACTTAGACCTTGTCTAAAAAAAAACAAACTGTTGAGCCTGTCTTATAATTGGTTTTACCTGAGATGTTCATAAATTATTTAAATGTACTAGAAAGTGTTTTTTAATTGACCAACAGGGATTGCCTTACTATTGAGTCCTCTTTCATTTGGGAGAAAGTACTTTATATGGATAAATGACCCAATTTAACCAGAAATGATTATACATTCATTAAAGAAAAATAAACCAGAATTGTGTTTTAGAATAGTAGGCTGCTCAGTCGTACTTGCAACATTTTAGAAATCAGGTAGAGATTTGGTCTAGTTTTTTAGTTTACTCTTACAGAAATAAAATATTATCCCAGAAGCTGAATATATTTTATAATTCTTAATTTCAGTAAGTCAGAAGAGTAAACCATTTATAAGGTGTTTACATGTGAAAGTCTAGTTATTATAGAACTCCCTGACAATATCTTCACTGTTTCTCAAAGAAATTATGGATCATTGGGGAAAAAAAGAAAAGAAAAGAAATTACTGGATCACATTAAATAAGACAATCAGTACTTTACCAAATGCCTATCCAGTTTGGCTATAAGTGCCCTGAAAGCGTAGCCTGTTAAAGCATTGAATTGTTACATGCCTTTGTTTCTGTGTGCATTGATTAAATCATAAATTGCATACTGCATTGTAACCCTAAAGGTATTTTGTTTGGCTAGCCAGATTTTTTTTTTTAATGATCCTTAATATTCCATATCTACCATCCTGCTCATTCCTGTTGTTTTTAGCACAGCCTTAACATTCATTAATGTTAACTTCATGGCCTCTGAAGACATGTGTTTGTGGCCTCATACTTGTAGGTATTAGAATTACCCAGAATACATATCCAGAAAGGAGGGGGTCTGAAATGCGATTACCTCCAATTTGACTTTTATTCCTTTTCTGCATCAATAGGGTCATTCACATGTCAAACTGCAGCTTGCTGCTATGTTTTGCATATCAAACCTCATATGGAATGAAGAGGAAGGTAAGAGATTGTGGAGATTTGTTCTGAAGAAAATTATGGGAAGAGAGTCTCACACAGGAAAGGCACCAAGTGCCTCTGAGTTCCTGGGCAGAGGCCCCATCATTGGACTGGTCACCCGCATCACCCCATAGGCACACTTTGGTTTGAGAATCAGTGCAACTGGCTCAAATAACCAGGACTGAGCCATCACCCTGGAGCCAACACTGTACTACATCACTAGGAGTAAGGGTGAGAAGTAAATAATACTCCCTGCATTGAGAAAGCTGATGCAGAAGTTGCTCAGGTACACATGAAGATTATAAGCAGAAAAAGTAGGAAGATAGGCCTTTCATGAAGAGCAGAAAATGCACATTTAAGGACTGCACACAAGCAATAAATGGAGAAGAGGGTTCATCGGTAAGAGAGGTAGTGTTTAATGAAGGAGCCAGTCTATAATGATCAAAAGTTCTCTACCTAAGCTGCATACTAGAATTACCTGGGGAGTTAGACTCTCTTAGGGTGGCCCAGGTACAGGTGATTCCAGTATACAGTCAGGCAGGTCTCTGGCCAATACTGGATCTCTGTGATGGGCTAGCGGTATTATAATCACCTTGGAGTCTGAACTCAGTCCCTAGGGATTTTTGGTTTGCTGGGTCTAGAGAGGGTAGTGCATGAGTGATCACTGTCGGGTCTTCAATGGAGAAGAAAAACTCCAGAGGAATGACTATACTTGGTGCTTATGTCCAGAACAAAGTGGAAGGAGGTGAAACTGGATTCAACTCATTGGTCAAAATACCAAGCAGATCTGTGTGCCAGAGAGACATAACCAGGTCTGACTGATGGAATGGAGCAGTATGAAATTAGAACTACCACTTGTGCTGACCAAGAGGCAGCAAGAAGTGCTTGGAGAAAAGAGTGAGACACAATAGAAGGGGAAATAGGACATCTTTGGAAGAGGAAAAAGTATGGCCTGGCCAGTGTTAAATGTTCTGAAAAAAGTAATAAAGGTGGGGCTCAGTGACAGAGGGCTCTATGTTGGGCTAAAGATTTTGACCCTCTGGTCCATGGAGAAGTAAGTCGAGCAGCAGAATTCAGGATGAACTATAGGAAGGAGGGCCAGAATAGCTGTCTGCATCCTGTTCCTAGTAACCTGGTAGCTTTAATCTTTTAGGTTCACAAGAACGCCAAGATAAATTACGAGACATGGGCATCGTAGATATTCTACATAAACTGAGTCAGTCACCAGATACAAATCTTTGTGACAAGTGAGTATCAACATGAAAGAACCTTGCTTTGGGCTATGTTGGATTCTTTTATGAAATGGTTTAAATTCCTTACTAATTCAGATAACCAACCTTCTAAAATCTTTTAGATTCCTGGATTTCTTTTTAGTATCCTGTGAGCCAGCTATGTCATTTGAGTGAGATGTAAACTAACAATTACCAAATTATTAAAGACTCTCCTCTCATTCTGAATTAATATGTGTCTGGACAATATTAGTGGATATCTGGAGAGGATCCAGGTACTACTTCCTTGCCTTCCCTTGATCATTACAATAGAAATGGATGTGTCTTTTTGAAAAGCATACCAATATCAAAAACATCGATTAGCTCAAAACTTCACTGATCACTCTCTTGTACCAGCCTAGCCTTACTGCCAGGGATGTAGTAATGACCACTAATCAGTCCCCATTCTCAAAGAGCTTACATATCATGGAAGGGGCAGGAATTATAATCATAGACCCAGCTAAACTCAAAATAGTAGAAAATGCTCTTTCTAGCTATATACACTGCCTTGGAACAGCCTTCATATTCCCATTCCAAGGAATTACTTCTGGGTTTAATAACACAGCAGGAAACATCAAGTTTTTCATTCCATATGCTGCCTTTCAAGATCTGGTTCTGGATTTTTCATTCTGAAACCCCGTTTTCTACCCCCGACCCCAGTACTATCTCTGTATTCCAGCCATACCTGCCTGCTTACATATCACACCTTGAGGTGCTTATGTATTCTGTTCCACCTGATTTACCATCCTAGTCCCCCCCTCCAATCTTCTTCATTCATTCAATAGACTTTTTCTTTAATATTTGCCCTGTTAAATACCTACCCTCACTATTTTATGTATGAGAGATACAATGGTGAACAAACATTGAAGCCTTTGCTCTTATGGAATTTTGACTCTAATATAAAAGACATTAAGCAAATACGTAACAATATCAAGTAATATAAAGCAAAATAGAGCAAAGTAAGGGAATGTAAATAAAGATTTTTTTTTTCCATATGGGTTAGTAAAAACCTCTCTGAGGATGTGATTTTGACAAGAGATCTGGATGGAAATGAGGGAGTCTACTGGACAGGTGTTGTCTTAGTCACTTTCCCTTCTCTGAGACACAATTACGCAACACCCACACCTTAAAGGAGAAGAGGTTCATTTTGAGTCGTGGTTTAAGTAGGCTCCAAGGCAGAAATACATAGTGATAGGGACTTGGGCAGAAGACAGCTGCTTATCCCATGGCAGCCAGGCAACAGAGTGAGAAGGGTGGAGCTGGGGAAGGAATAAACCCTTTCAGGTCATGTCCTTGATAACCTACCTCCAACCTGGTCCTACTTCCCTAACAGCACATTTAGGTACTTAACCCATCAGGGGGTCAATCCACTGATGAGTATGGCACCCCCGTGATCCAGTTACTCTAAACATGTGAGACTTTTGAGGGACATTTTTTATCTAAACCATAATATTCTGTCCATGGCCTCCAGAAGACTCATGTCCGTCTTACCATGTAAAATGCATTTAGTCCATCTCTTAAGAGTTACCTAAGTCTTTAACAGTTTTAGCAGTGCTGAAAAGCCCAAGTTCAAAGTCTTCTCTAAAACTAAAGGCAGACTCTTAGCTATGAGCTCCTATAAAAATTAAAAGGAAAGTCAAATACTTCCAATTTACAGTGGCATAGGATAAACACACCCGTTATAAAAGGGAGAAATAGGGAAATAGAAATCAGGCCAAACCAAGACCAAAACCCAGCAGAGCAAACATTAAATCTTGTAGTTCCATGTCCACCACACATAGCAAGCAGGTTGTAGTGAGATGTGGACTCCAGAAGGGTTGGATATCCCTGAGGCAGTGCCAGTTGCAGTTCTTCATGGCTTCTCTCAGGCTGGGTGTACTCATCGTGACTTTCCTAGCAGATGATCCAAGTTCCTGCATCTCCAACTTCGTGGGGTCTCCACTGTACTTTTGGCTTTACTCTCACAGCTCCATGTACTACCTTCCTAGAAGCACACACTGTAGCCTTCCAGGCCACCTTCTGAAATCTGGATGGAAGCCTCCCTGACCCCATAACTCTTAGATTTTGCATGTTTGAAAAACTAGCACTACATGGATGATGCCAAGATTTGTTGCCAACTTAAGCAGGAGCCATGACTCTAGGGCCATAGCTGTAAAGGCCTCTGAGTGTCTAGATGGCTGAGCATAGTGGAACAAACCCCTGGGAACCAGTTCCTTAGGTGGCCTGCAGGTGGGGTGGGGAGTTTCCCCAAAGGAAAGTTACAGTTGCTTTTTGTTTGTTTGTTTTTGCACGGGGACGAACTTGGGCCCTTGAGCTTAGGAGGCAGATAGTGGGACCACTGAGCCAAATCCCCGGCCCAAGTTTTACAGTTCTGTGCCTTTGAGCCTGAGAAGGGCAGGGTCTTGCTGATTCTGAGATGTTTTCAAGCCATCTTTTCTATTATCCTGATGCAGTTACTTAGCTTTTTAAAAATGCTAATATTTTCAGCAGCCATATTCTCCATGTTCCCAACTTTGTACGTGCTTCCTTTCCAATAAAACTGTAGACTTTTCAAGTCATTTAGCTCTGCCATTAGCTCTGCCATTTTGCTCAGGCAGTAATACCAATACACAGCCTGAATGTTGGTTGCTTTGAAGTTTCCTTTGCCAAATTAATTACTCCACTGCTTTAATCTCAGTCTTTTGCAAAGTCTCAAGATATGGGCAAAATGAGGACAAATTTTCTGCCAGGCATAACACATGTGGTCCTTAGTCCAGATGCCAATGGAGTCCTACTTTACAGTTGAAACCACTTGAGCCTGGCCTTTACTCTCTGCATTTTCTTTTGGTACTGGGGTTCGAACTTGGGACCTTACGCTTGCGAAGCAGGCAGCAGAACCACTGAGCTAAATCTCCTCAGCCACTGTCTGCATTTTGATCAGCATTTTATTCTGAGCTCTGACCAGTATTGTTTGTCAAGCCCAGCTTACAGGTTCTTTAGATAGCATCCCCAAATCTTTCCAAACTCTTCCCATAAACCAAAGTGTATCAGGTATAGTCATAGCAGTGACCCCTTTTCTTGTACCAGTTTCTATCTTAGTCACTTTCCAGTTGCTGAGAAACAATATCTGACACTCATAACTTAAAGGAGGAAGGGTTTATTTTAACTCACAGTTTCAGTCCATGGTCAGCAGGTTCCAAGGCAGAAATGCATGGCGAAAAGGGCCAGAGCTCATCCTATGGCAGTCAGGAAGCAGAGAAAGAAGGAGCTGGGAAGGGAAATATACCCTTCAAGGTCATGCCCCCAGGGACCCATCTCCAACCAGGCCTCCGGCCTCCTAACAGCACATTTAGCTACTAACCTCACCAGTGGCTAAATGCGCTGGTGAGTATAGTACTGCCATGATCCAATAACCTTCCAAACACATGAGGCTTTTGTGGGTCATTTTTTTTTGGACCCAGGGGATCAAATGAACTCAGGCCCATGCTTGCAAGGCAGGCAGTGGAACCGCTGAGCTAAATCCCTGGCCCTTGTGGGTCATTTTTTTAAAAATCTAATCCACGACAGGTATTTAGATGAAGAATAATATTCCACGCAGAGGACACAGGGAGCTCAAAGACCTTGAGGCAGAAATAAACGGACATGCTCAGAGAGAAGACTTATAAGAAAACCAGTGAGGGGTCATTCGAGAGATGCAGATGAAAACAACACTAAGATTCCACCTCACCCCACAAAGAATGGCTGCTATCAAGAAATCACACAATAACAAATGTTGGCGGGGTTGTGGGGAGAAAGGAACCCTCCTCCATTGTTGGGGTGGGTGCAGACTAGTGCAACCACTATGGAAATCAATATGGAGATACCTCAAAGAGCTTGGACTGGAGGTTCCATTTGACCCAGCCATCCCTCTGTTGGGTATCTTTCCAAGAGAACTGAAAGAATCATATCACAGAGAAGTATGTGCACCCATGTTTATAGCGGCACAGTTTGTAATAGCTAAATCTTGGAAACAACCTATTTGCCCATCCGTTGGAAACTGGATAAA